CAGGGCACCAACTTCCTCATCTTTAAGACTGCAACAATAATAGTGAGATTAAAATAGGTAACCCATGCAAGCTCTACATAATAATCACTCGGTAAATTTTAGCAATTAGGCAGCCACTTCTCTCTCAAGAGACTGGCCCTTGCAGTTAAACCCCACATCTTTTAAGCTTCCACATGGGAAACAGAAGCATGAGTATGACTGTCTATTGTCATTGGGTTATCTGGGGTTCTGCTTTCCCTATGACAGGAGAACTTTACTTCATGGTCTAGTTTTAAAGATGAAAGTCATGCAAAATTAAAAATTACATCTCTAAGAACAAAATTTCACTAGGTGATATTTAAAAATAATTTTCTCCTACAGATCTAAACAGAAAAACTTGAGAAAGAGCATGGCAGACAATGGATACATGTTTGCACGGGCACTCTGTCAGTATCCAGGCTTGGCCTGGCATTCCAGGGGTGAATTTTCTCCATTTCCTCCTCTAGCCTCTCTAGAGGCACCAATATTCCCACAAGGTCAGAATAGCTTTTGTTCCTCGTTATTCCCCTCCTGGGGCTATGTTCTCAATCCATGGGGCAGGATGTGGTCCAGAGTAAGTTATTAAACCTAGAGCAATATGAGGAGGCAGAGTAATGCCCCAGGGGGAGCACAGGGCACTCAGATCTGAGCCTGTGCCAAGGAACAGGCTCTGCCCGCCCCCAGATTGGCAGCGCCCTGGGCAGGGAGTCAAGCTGAGCTCTTCACACTCTGTGTGGCCTTGGTCAGCTCACTATCTCTGAGATCATCAGCTTCACCATGGGACAAATGAAGAGGACATCTACGCCTCAGGTTTTGTGAGGATTAATGAGGCCATGTGAAATGGGAGAAGTTGGTCCTTGCAGAGACTCTGCAAAGGTTGGAAGCTGCTAGCAAGTCGATCTTTCTGGGTTCTAGAGTTTTCCTCTTTAAAAAAAAAAAAAAGGGATCATCTTTATTCCTTTACCGGTATCACAAGAAAGGTGAGCAAAACAAAATCTTCTGTAACTCCACCACCAAAACAAAGCTACTATTCATAACTTGATGGATTTTGTTTCAGACTCTTTGGGGACAATGAGGAGCTTAGGGTCTTCTAACTGTCCTGAAGTCACTGGAGTTTCCAAGTTAGAATGGTGGTATTTCCACTTAGACTGTCTTTTTATTAACCATGTATGAAGGTGTTCAACAAATGGAAGTAAGTGGAGGCCCTGGTGAGTCAGCCATGCTAGCTTCCTCTGCATCTTGTGCATAATTAACTGTGCAGGCCACACACGGGCCATCAGTGGATGCATCAGTGTTGTCACATAATCCAGGGCCCATGCCACAGGAAGATACTGAGCTCATAGTAAGAACCCAGGTGTTATCCAGGTGAAAGGTGAGCTAAAGGTGACTGGTGAAACTCTATAGGTATTTTTATTGTAGTTTCAAGGTTACATGGCTGTGCATATAAGGGCCTTAGTAAGCCTCATCTCAACACATTTCCAAAAAGGCAGGACTTCATCTGGATGGGCAGAAAAAGATTCCAAAAACCTGATTGTGTCTTCTATGGAAACAGCACCGAATCCTGTTATCTTCTGGTAGGATCAGCTCAGACCATACTCTTGATGCATCTCATTAACTGTAATATCTGTTAGATCCACGTGCCAGAGTGTTTGCTCTCTCTGACCCTGCAGCCTGTTCTCTGCAGAATGGTTCTCCTCAACTCATCATTTCTGCTCTGGAGACCCTAGTGTTGGCTGGGAAGTTCAGGTGAGGAAGGAGGTGGCAGTGCCAGTGAGGGCCCAAGAAAAATGCTGATCTTGTTCTCAGAAAATACAGTGTCGAGCTTCCCGTGGTGACCTGGAATGGAGGACAGATGACCCATGCAGACTCGTCACAGTCTTCCATGCAACCTGGGCTCTGATGGGAGTTGTCAAGGGCTTTCAGCTTTTTAAATGTGAATTAATATTTTATCTATGACATGCTTCATCTCACGTGGTCCTCACAACAACCATAACACACAGTTTACAGACAAGGAAACTAAGGATCACAGAGTTAAAGTACTGTGCTCACCGTTAGCCAACTGGCCAATGGTGGAGCTGGAACATAAACCCAATGCTTGGGATGTCTTCTTCTCAAGGAGTCGCCACCTTGGGTGGCTCAGTTTACTTCTGCTGAGTAGATTTTCACAGTTTCCTCTTCCCATTGAATTTTTCCACTGACACTCTTTACCCTGCTTTCAACTCAGGCCTCATAACTCCTCGTTCCCTTTCATACTTAGAAACCTGCCTAATTACACTTGGTCCTTCTCCAAGACTCCAGGCACTCTCTCCTTCTATGTTCTGACTCTAACTCTTCTTTCTGCCTAAAATGTCTTTCTCCCACTTTCCCGATGGGCTCCCACTCATGCTCCAAGTTTTATATTAAACATTTTCTTTGTCCTTTCACAGCGCCCTATCTTGCCCCTATATTAACCCTCATCACGCTGTACTGTAATTGTTTAACTTAACATTTTCCCTATCTAGAATACGAGTCTCATGAAGCAGGAACTGTATCTGACTTCTTGGCCACAGGGCGCTAAAACCAAATATCACGTCTTGCACATAGTGAAGCTACAATTCTGACTTTTCGAATGGGGTACGAAGGAGACCAGCAAGGAGTAGACTCATCCTCACGCTGATGAATTGTTCTCACAAGGAAAATCTTCACTGCATAGTCCAGAGCCCCTCAGGAATCAGCTGCCCGCTTCCCTTTGGCCTGCTGGACTCAACCTCCTTTTATACATTACTCTTCTTAAAGACTAATTTATATTTGCTTTTGAAAATTTAGAATAAGCTGAAAAACAAAGAAAGAAAGGAGCTCAGAAACATCCGTTCACAAAGGGGTACGAGGACAGAGTAAGGGCTAAGGGCCCTGGCTGCTCCGGGATTTAGTCCCGCTCTGCCCTTGCTGACCTGAAGATGCTGGGTGTCTCCAACTTCTCAGGGCCCTTTCTCCTCATCTGTAAATGGAGCTGAATAATACCTACCCTCACGTGTATCATGAGAAGAAATGAAATGACGCAGGCAAAGAGTCTAAGGAGAATGTTACTATTATTATTCGTGTCCCCTCAATCCTTCCTTTATCCAAACTTCTCATTTTGTAAAGGAATCAAAGTGTACATTACATTTTAAATTCTGTGTTAAAAAATTTCTCTAGATTCCATATAAATTAACTCCCGAAGAAGCCAAGCTCCACGTCTCTGATCCTTGAAATATCTTCTAAGATGGAACAAGGTGTCATTACGGAAAGTGCTCCATCCCTGAAGGGTGATGTGATTAAACCTCTAACAGAACAATGATCTTGATTCCTCTACGAAACCTCCAGGAACTGTAGACCTGAGACCGTAAACTCCTAGAAGAATACATGAGGATATGACACCGAAAACAAAAGCAAAAAGGAACAAGTGAGACTATATCAAATTAAAAAGTTTCTGCACGGCAAAGGACACAATCAACAAAATGAAAAGGCAACCTATGGAAAGAGAGAAAATATTTGCAAATCACATGTCTGATAAGGGGTGAATATCCAAAATATATAAGGCGTTCATATAGCTCATTAGGGAGAAAAAAGCCAAATAGCCTGATTTTAAAGTGGGCAAAGGGCTGGAATAGACATTTTTCCAAGAAGACATAAAAATGACCAACAAGAAAAAAATAACCAACAAGAACACTGAAAAGGTGCTCAGTATCATCACTCATTAAGGAAATGCTTACACTAGACTTAAGATGAATATATAACACAAATTATATTATACAACAGAAACAAATAGAAAGAAATATAATATACAAAGATACCATTTACAATAATATCAAAGATAGAAATAAGATTGCAAGACCCAAATGGATAATATCATAAACATTTCTTGGAAGATATTAATAAAAAACAACATAAATGGAGAACTATATACCAAAGACAATATTGTAAGGATGACATTCTCCTCAAACTGATCTGCGAATCCAAGGCAATTCAAATCAATATCCAAGATGGGTCTTTTGAAGAACTTAATAAACTGACTTTAAAATTTATAGAAAATGCAAAGTGATACAAATAATACAAAATTCAAGTGATTGAAGAGGAATGGTTTTGGAGGAAGAGTATATAATATAGTGAAATAAAGAGCTCAGAAATAATCCCACATACATAAATGAAGTTATCATATAACTAGATAAAAGAGGAACTCATCACTAAATGGTCTGGAACCATGTGAAAAATGAAACTGGACCTTGATTTTATAGCTTACCAAAAATAATCAATTTCAGGTGGTCTAAGGGTATAAATGGGAGAATCAAAATTTCAAAACTCTTACAAGAAAACAGAACCAAGGTGTCCTATGTTCCTAGATGATATAATGTAGTGAGTTCAAATCTTGTTTCCACTACATAATTAGATGTGTCACCTGGAACATATAACTTGACCTCAGCCTCAGTTTCTTCATCTGTAAATGATGATAATAATTGCACCTAACCTGTGGAGTGCATGTGATAATTCAGTTATATATATTCAAATATATATATATCTATATATCTTGCTTAAAATGGTTCCAGGCAGGAAGAAAGTACTCTAAGGGTCATTTACTATTACTATTATTGTGTTTATCACAGTCTTTTTCTTGCACCATGATCAGTTTCTTCCTTGTTACAGAAGGCTGAAGAGAGGAAAAGAAACAATTCTTTTTTAATTCTTTGCTCTGATGGTTCTACTTTCCATGGTTAAACATATGCAGAGGCTCTGGTCCTATAGTTTCTATGGTTTCTACATGAACATGAAATTCACTATCAGGGGGTCTAATCAACCTGGGACCTTCAGCTTCATGGCTGGATACCCAAGCATTCACTGTTCAACTCAACACCTAGTAATACCCAGTCCTGGCCCTTGGGGTAAGTGGGCTCAACCCTCTCAAAAATCATGTCCAAAATACAACATCAGTCGATACCAAGACTCTCCTACCTGCTGCTTGCTGCACCATGAAGCCTGCTGAGCTGGGATTTCTTCTAGGGCTCTTCATCTTCTTCTTGGTGGCTACTCCATTAATGGGTGGTGTTTATAAACTTAGCAACATCATATGTGGAGATCTCAAAGGTAGGAACTTGAAGCAGAAAATAAATTCAAAGACCAATTATGCATGAGGGAAAAAGTGTTGGGGGTAACGTGATATCCGGGCGGTCCAGGAAGTTCCTTCTTTTGTGTCAATGCCCATAGACTCTTAGTCCCTTGACTCAGGGCATGACTTACTTTAGGGGTCTTGTGGATGTCTGATGAGAAAAAAACAAACTAGGATACAAATAAGTCCTTTCCAGATGGGGCTCTCTTTGGTAGGGGTTCCAAAGACTGGAATTATTTTGAACTGGGGGGTTTCATGACAAATTTCAAAGATTCTAGACCAATCAAGAGTATGTATTGGAATGAAAGAAAAAGGGGATTGGAACTGAACAAATTCAGGCGTTTTCAATATCTAGGCTCTGGGCACATAGAGGACACTTGAACACATAGTTCCTGTTTAATGGATGTAGAGGTGAAAAGCAATGAAGCTTCCTTTCACAGATAATGTGTATTGGCTCAGTGCTTCCAGAGCATGAGGAGGTGGCACAGTCTACACGGTGAGTCAGACACCTCAAACTCTGGTCCTGCCACTTAGCAAAGGCATGCCCTTAGTCAAGTCACTCAATCGCTTACCTTCCCTTAGCTTCAGTTTCCCCTGTGTAAAATGTAGATCAGAGAACTGCCTGCTTCAGAGGATGTTTGTATGAAATAAGATTATCCATGCAATTGTCCCTAAATAGCTACTTTTACCAGGGAGTAAATCTAGACAGGCTACTTATGTAGGATAAACAACAGTCTCTAAGTTGCCAATACAACCCTGTTGTTGGTGTTTTGGCCACTCGCAATGTGACTCTCATCAATAAAAACAGGTTTGCCTCTGAGAAGGCAACACAGAGAAAGATGACAGGATATGAGAGCAAAAGACTATCACCCCTGAAATTATTCATTTTGATGTATATGCTACTTTGAGGATGCAGCAGGACAGTTACCTGAAATTTGGGGTGTAGATGGTATAGTGAGTATATGAAAACTGGAGAATGAGCATTCTAAATTATATGTTCTATGTGGGCAGTTAAAAGGAGAGAAATATGAAGATATGGAGAGACTGTGCTTTAATAAACTGTAAAATGGGAAAGAAAAACCTCATCACTTTGCACAAGCTATTGGTAGAACCGCCTTTTTCACTGCTTACTATTTCTTCAAGTCACTGCCAGAACCTGGAGTTGTAATCAATTTACATGCCCAAGGGCAAACTTGCCAAATAATCCTAATTCCAAGAGAACACCAGCTGCCCTTCAGTGACTCTGAATATAGGAATGTTTCCAGACTAACATGAGGAATATTTAAGGACCCATGAAGACAAGATCTCCTGCTGACTCCTAACTAATTCACTCTAACTCAATGGGAACCCCTCATGCAGATCCCTGCAAGCTGGACAAGAAGACTGGCAGCTGCTATGAAGTCCACTTTAGATATTTCTATAACAAAACCTCCGAAAGATGTGAATTTTTTATCTTCACTGGCTGTGATGGCAACCTTAACAATTACAAGCTTAAAATAGAATGTGATACAGCCTGCGATAAAAATTTCAAACAAGGTAAGGAATACAATGTTGTCCTTGGTCCTTGGGGAGGAGGAAAGAAGAGGCTCTGGGATCCCAAGATAGATTCTGGTTTGGGAATGGGAAGAGGGAGGATTGTCATAATCAAAATGTTTAATAGTGGAGTTGGATGTCAGGATCATTTGTCATTTTGCCGTTAGGAAATCAAAAGTCCACCATTTATTGGAAAATTACTGTGTGCCAGGCACTGCACTTAATAATTTCCATATATTGGTACAACTTAAAATTAAAATCACCCTAAGGGAGATGTGTATTATTATTTTCAGGTGGCACATGAGGAAACAAAGCCCAGTTGAGGTAACCAACTGGCCCAAGGTCACATTATTAAATGGCATAGGAAAGTTCCTAACCAGATCTGAAGGTCACCCAGGACTTGACCATCCTACATGCATGAGGTCATCCAATCCCATTCATTGTACTCTCAGACCTGTGAACTCTTCGTAACAACATGTTTTATACAACTAAGCTGGCTCCCAGACCACCCTCGACCATTTCCCACTCATAGGAGCTAGAAGAAAGTCTATGGAGGCCAAGAAGGCTATGGCACGGCTGATAGAGAGTGGCCTTGGAAGTAACTCAAAAGCAGAAATTTTGTTTTATTAATTTAATATTCCTAGTGAATCTTCGCAGTGCCTGGCACATAGTAGGCAATGACTAAGTTTTGAGAGAGTAATCAGTGAACAGGAGGGACATTGAAAGAAATGGCACCCCCTGGGTTTCCCCTGAGATAAAAATGACTTAAATTAATCCAGGGAGATTTTCTAAAACTTACAACACAGATCTGTTATTTTGTTTTGTTTTGTTTTGTTTAGTAAAAGAGTCGTCTAGAAGTCTTAGAAGAGGTGCTTGAGATGCTTGATACACCATCTGAATACAGACGTAAGAAAATTCAGACAAATTTTATGATCTTTATAATGTTTCCATAATTCTTGAAACTCCCATCTGTTTGCTCTTTTCCTGAATTTAGCTTTGACTTTCCTGAGAAATAACAGTATGACCATTAAAATGAAAGAACCTTTGCATCAGCCGTCCTTTCTTTCTGACTGCCTTATTCAGAGTTGGAAAATCGGCTGGTTCTGTCCATTAGCTCCCCTCTCCCTTCTGAACTATTCCTCATTCACTCACATGATATTTACACTTTCAGATGTGACCAGCCATTCTTTATAGGATTGTATCGCTTCCCCTCTCAGGTTGAGCTAATAGTGGAATCTAAGTACCAAACCTGTGCTCCTTTTTATCCTTGAAATCAAACCGAGCAGCAAACCTCACACTCACATGAAATGTCCTTGCACGCATAACAAATTTTTCTTTGTGATGTTTCCTGACTCATGTCCACCAAACCAGGAGCCCCAATCAGTTTAACTAGCCCCCTGACTTGATCCAAATTTTTGAGTACTTATACTAGGACACTTTTTAGTACCTTCATCATTGAAATTTGTCTTGGCTATGCCTAGTGCTTCTGACAAAAAGAGCCTCAACTTCAATCCAATGACTGTGTTTTAGCTACCAAGAGAATAATCATCCAAACGCTGGTCACCAATCTTCTGAATATAATACTACAAGGTTTAGTGTGGCCATGATCTTCCCAGCTATAGGATACTCAGCTTGACCATTTCATCCCTGAATTTTTTCAAGCATCCCTTCCCTGCATCTCTTCTCTGTTCATCTTATTGTCCCTCACCTGAATTGCATTCTGGGCCACTGGTGGCTAGGGCTATCATCAGAAGCATTGTAAACCAGTGAGATCTTGTAATTAGACATGCAAGCCTGGTCTCTGCTCAATCTTAAGAATAAGAAAACCGAAAAAAAAAAAAAAAGAATAAGAAAACCAATCCCCTAAATGGAGACAATTTTCTGCAAAACTTTTGACTGCAAACATTCTGATTACTTCAAGATCAGACTTTCATCCAGAGTTTACTCTGAACAGATGAAGCCCTAATTCTGGCGTATTTCAATTTTGGTGAAGACCCTAGAATTGTAAATCATTCTTGAATCCAGTCAGCTGTAGGAGACATGCTATGGGCCCTGAAATAATAAGAATTAGGCTAATCTGACTGGTCCACATAAATGGAAGTTCGAAGATTTTCCCATTGTGAGCCATGAAACTGGTATCCCAACCCCCAACACAGTGCCATACAATCAGGAAGGAACTCCCAACTCTCAGCTTCTCCCTGAGGAGCAAAGTGTTAGGAACCCAGATTTAGTGCCCTAAGTTTTAAGACTTCCACCTGAGGGATGAAAACCAATTAGGCCTGCATCCCCAAGACCCAGAAGACTACAGCACATAAAGAAGCAGTTGTCGATGGGTGTACAAGCCCTCTCTGTGACTATTCCCTCAGGGCTCAGGGGACATTGCAGAGGGAAGAGGCAAAATTGCCTTCTCCCAATCTTTCTCTGATAGGGGTCCACTAGCATACATTGAAATTCAATTTAAAAATGGGCAGAGGACCTGAACAGACACTTCTCCCAAGAAGACATACATTTGGCCAACAGATATATGAAAAGATGATCGACTTCACTAGTTATTAGGGACATACAAATCAAAACCACAACGAGCTACCACCTCACACCTGTTAAAATGACTATCACCAACAGGACAAGTAATAACAAGTGTTGGGGAGGTTGTGGGGGAAAAGGAACCCTCATGCACTTCTCGTGGGAATGTAAATTAATTTAATAGCACCTATGGAAAACAGTAGGACAGTTCCTCAAAAAATTAAGAATAAAATTACCATATGACCCAGCAATTCCTCTTCTGGGTATCTACCAAAAAAAAAAGAAAACATTTATCCATAAAGATATGCACCCCAGTATTCACTGAAGTGTTAATCGTGGTGGCCAAGACATGGAAACAACCAAAATGCCCTTTGATATAAGATGATTGGTTAAAGGAGATGTGGTACATAGATACACTGGAGTACTACTCAGCCATAAGAAAAGATGAAATACTGCCATTTGCAACAACATGGATGGATCTTGATATTATCATGCTAAGTAAAATAAGCCAGACAGAAAAAGTTGAGAACCATATGATTTCGCTCATATATGGGATATAAAACTGAAAGCCATAAATGAACAAGACAAACAAACAGAGACTCATGGCCACAGCCTTTAGGCCTGAGACACAAGCCCTGCTCTGTATTTATTTATTTGTATTTCTATCCCATTTTGGTCCTCAGAGACATTTACAATCCTCTCAACTTTAAAAAAAAAACACACATTATATCACTGGAGTTTGGAGAAATATGGCGGAGAGAGAGACATCCCCAGGTCTCTCCCCTTGAAACAACAATAAGCTGAATATTTAAAACTCAACAAAAAACACCCAAACTGCACACCAGCTCATCTGAGCGTAGGATCTGTGCATATGAGCTACCACAGAAAAATTTTAAAGATAAAGATTTAAAACTTTTTTAAAAATATATTATATCTATTGTTGTTATGTGTTTGGAATAGAGGAATTGTACCAAAGATGAATTTATTAAGCAATCTTAATAGGATGTTTTCCTAGTATTGTGTATCTCTAGTTGATAAGTATAACTTATTTCTCCCTAACTAAATTTTAAATCCATGATTGATGTGACCATGTCATCTAAGTCTTCTGTGTTGCTCTACCGGTTCTCTAAAACCAAGACATACCTAGCCTATCAGAGATTAAATCATAACCATCGATATGTCTAGAAGGAACCCCTCCATGTTCTGAAGCAAATGAAGACAGGGAAATATATCCTCAGTTGCAAAGACTTCTAGCTAGGGATATCATCAGAATCTTTTATTCTGGTAAATGAGACTTAATCAAAGAATCAGATATAATTAATGAAGCGGTATATAAATAAAAATACAAATTTTTATGAGTGTTAACAATGACAGGTACATAATGTGATGAGAACATGGAAAAGAGGGCTTGACCTGATCAGAAAAACCACAGAAAGGTTCACAGAAGAAATTACAAATGAGCCAAAATCTGATGGATGAGGCAGAGGAATGATGAAGAGAATGCCCTACGGTTGAAAGGAAAGAGATGAGTATAAGAGACAAAAATAAATTCCATAAAGTAGGAGATGGAAGTGTAGGAGGAAGCTTTGAGCAAGACAAGATGCCTCTAGAGATGGCGTATAAGGTAAAATGAGCTAGATGTAATTTGCCTGCTCATAAAATTGACTTGTGCCTTTGGGGCCAACTCATACCTGGTTTAATGCAGACTCCTTCCTTATTTTGATGGGTTATTAATGGGTTCACTAGGTACTGCAAGTTTTTCTCGAGCATCTCTCTTTCATAGGCTCTTACCAGACAAAGCAGGGAATTAATGACACTCACTGTTTTCCACCCCATAACACTTTAACCCAACGACTTAGACCCCACACACTGGAATGGAACATTGCATCTTCTCTCTTTGGAAACCTTCGGTTCAGAACATTTACTCCCACACTTGCACATGACCACACAGGACCTTCAGGAACCCCATATTTAAATAACAGTGTCATCAGGCACCCTTTATTCTGAACACACAGGGAATGATCAAAGGCATGCAGCATTCTGGAACACATTTATCCCTCCATCATAGCCTCGGGCCTCTCCCACTCAACCCTGCCCCCATTTAACCCCGTCCTGATAGAG